GTGTTTTTTTAAATTATTCTATTTATCAAGGCGACAGTTATTGAATGTAAAAATGTTCAATATTTATAAAAAAATTAAATAACTGCTTTCTTATTGTATGTAGTTTTCCAATGCAATTATCAGTCCAGTCATTATTGCTTTAAATAATAATAATGTAAATAATAATAATAATAATAATAATAATAATAATAATAATAACAATAATAATACTAATAATACATATTAGACTGATTTTTGAAGGATCAAGTGACTCTGGAGACTGGAGTAATGAAGCTGAAAATTAATCTTTAAAATCACTGTAATAAATTATTAAATTAAATTATAAACTACTTTTGAACAGTTATTTTACAGTGCAATAACATTCCCCAATTTTACAATTTGTACTGTATTTTTGATGAAACAAATACAGCCTTGGTGAGCAAGAAAAGCTTATTTTAAAACATTTTAAAATCCTAATGACATACACACACACACACACACATACACACACACACACACACACACACACACACACACACACACACACACACACACACACACACACACATTTAATCCATATATTTTTTCAATAGTCTACAGACCAAACATCGTTATACAATACCTTGCCTGATTACCCTAACCTATAGTTAACCTAATTAACCTAGGTAAGTGTTTGAATATCACTTCAAGCCGTATAAGTGTCTTGAAAAAATATAGTCAAATATTATTTACTGTCATCATGGCAAAGATAAAATAAATCAGTTATACACTGATAAAAAATTTTCTGCTTCATTTACTTAAAAAAAATAATGAATTTTTTTCATTAATAATTTATTTATTTATATTTTTTCATAATTTTTTGCATTGCTTTATTATGTAGATGAAACAATACTAGGCCTTTTAGAACTTAATTTTTATATCTGTCGAAATCAAATTTTCAAATAAACAAATTTTTCTATTTCTCTAACCATTATTTTGTGTGTTGAATCTACATAACCTAAAGAGTTAAAAACTTGCATTTTGTATTGAAACCAACATCTTTTTTTAAATTGTCTATATTACAAATTTTAAATAGGTGTAGGCTAATCATACAAAATATTACATAAAGCTGACAAATTGTGTAAAGAAATGACAGTATATGTGAAAAATGACAGGTTTTATTTTTGCAATTTTTTTCTTGAATAAACATTTTAACATTCCAATTTTTACTCCGTCAAAACATAAAATGATGCAATACAAAGGACTTCATATTAATGGTCCAGACAATTTTCTATACAATAATGATTGTGTTTATTAAACTGCAACCAAAACAGCATTGTAAAAGTAAAAAAAATCTTTAGAGAAAACTACTTTTTTTTTTTAAATTAGACTTTTTTTAAAAATGCATTTTACTAAACATACACAGCAAATTCATCTGAGTTAAATTCTCGGTGTTGAAGCATTTCAGAGTAAAGTGTTGACGTTAAAGAGTTAGATTTTGATGAATGAATATAATAAGAGTTAGAATTGATTTTATTCAGTGCGAAATCAAGGAGTTATCTTTTCTACACTTGGTGGTGTTATTTCCAACATCCGGGAATTCATGCAGCCCCAGTCACTGAAGAATTTTCCAGACGCCATTTTCCAGGTTTAGAACAGCAACTGGTGAGTCAAACTACCTAAATGTTGGTATTTTACTGACTTTCTCTAAGGAAATACAGTTGTAAACATATTGTTAAGTTAATAACTTTAGAATGGAGTGACAATTTTAATCTTCTGCGGTTCATTCATGGTCGTTTGTGTATCTAGCTTAACTGCAGTACTATTGACTTTTTTTCAAGAATGTTTTTATATGCTCACGCATACATAGTGCATAAAAACATCAAATGTACATGTTCAACACATTTCTGTCATGCTTAATGCCATTTTGTGCGTTGTTACCCATCTGTAAAATAAAATCGACACTTCCCCTTTAATTCGAAGCAAACTAGCGAGGGAATCCCCGGAGCAGCCTAGCCTACTCTGCCCGGATGCTAACGGCAACACAGGACGGTTTCCATAAGCTCTGAAGAGTTTCTAAAACATATCTGGTGAGTAAATGAACATATGCTTACTTGTAAAAGGCTTCCTGACTGAAACATATGATTGTTTGTTATTCGTGTACGTTAATTTAGTTCTTTTAAACACCGCGGCCCTTTTAAACTGGTTCATTCGTGGCCGTCCATATACCGTTAGTCCATAGACTCGCGTGATAACGTACGCTTGAATTATATTAAGTGTTGACAACCATTAAAGTCGGAATGTTAACATTAATGTCTTTAAATGACCGCGTTTGCACTTTCTCAGACATTTAAGGTTACCGAAGTCTCCCGGAAGTTGCGGGACTAACGTTAACGTTATCCCGCAAATGCACAGAGACTCCCAGATGCCCAAGTAGATGCCCGCAAATGAATGAATGATAATCTCCCGGAAATCGCGCGTCTCCCGCCCGGTCATTAAACACTTTTCACACCCCTCTCCACCGCATCCCTCCCAGCTCTTCAGGTACGTCGCGCGCAACTCATCCCATTGTTCTTTAGGTACTCATCTCTCCCGCTACCTCCCGCAAATCAACTCTGTATCCCCCGAAAATTACTTTTCCCAACTCGGGATGTCTGACGTTAGTAAGTTAGGCTATTTATGTAGTCAGGAACATCAGGAACATCAACAAGCTTTTTCTCCCGCATGATATTGTGCTTAAAACTATAGGCTAAACTAGCATGTACTGTACACAACATTTCCTTTTTATTAAGGACAATTTAGTGCGTTGTAAACAGCCACCTGTCTGTAAAATTAATCAACTGATTCATATTTGAGCAGCCTAATGATGATACAGGTTTGATTTGTAGATTTATTATCAATAATCAACATCTGAATCAAAAGATATCTGAAAAAGTGTGAGGCATACCTTGTGATGTTCATCTCTCTTTTTTATCTGAAGGTTATGCATATGTGTGGATACTAATTTTTTGTTGTTTTTTAACAGCCACAGTTCTCTATACAATAACACAAGACCCTGTGACGGTGACTGATTAGAGACGGATGGTGTATTTTCAGAGTTGGTGAAATGACCAAGCACACCTTCTTGGTCATATGTGGTAATAATAATAATGAAGGTATGTTTGATAAAGTTCTGTATTTGTTTCACATAAGCTGAGAGGGTATTAGAGCATTAGAGAATAACAAATGACATGAAGGTGATAAGTTTTGTATTGTGGGTGAACTGTTACTTAAATAATGTTTTGCTCTTTACTTTGCACTTTTCCTCTTCTGCTTATCCTAATATTTTAGATTATATTTGGACCTGAAACATCTGCTAGACTCCAGGAAAGGTGGCGTCAATACTGGACCTGAAAGGGCCTAACAAGTTGAATCTGGTAAAGAAACACGCACACACGCACACACACGCACACACACATGCACGCACACGCTCACAGAAAACTGTAAGTTTATGAATATTTTTTACACTGTGGCCAATATTTTGGGGAAATCAGCATCACTAAATGATATAAAAGATTTTAAGCTCCTCTAAATTTTGCTCCAAGTGTTGTGTTAAATTCAGGATTTTGGACAGACAGCTGCCTGTTTTTCCAGTTCTAGTCATAGTGGTTAACCTAATTGTTTTTGGAGATCCAACAGTGATATTTGTGTTTTTTCTACTTTTCCATATCCTGTCACCTCAACCAGCTGGGAGAGTCAAGTTGTGGATCATCATGAAGATTTTCAAAAGGTGAGTTTAGATTTCTTGAATGTTTTATTTACTTTAAATGTTATTTTAAATATATCATAGAATTTGATTGCAATTTGTTTTCAAACATTTTTCTTAGTCATGCTGGAATCTTGAAGAGTTCTTAGATGGGCATCACCCTATATCCGTGCATCAGGAACCACCAGACGAGGGATCAGCAGCTACTACATCGTCATGGATAAAAAGGTCATCCTGTGGCTGGGAAGCACATCTTTCACAGGACGTGCTTGATGAGATTTCCTAGCTCCAGTTTGTTTTCACACAAGTTTACAGCATTTATACCTTCATTTAAACTGCTGTGTTTGGTATGGAGGACCAAGGAAACACCCGAAGTGAAAGATTTGCACACCAAGTTGTTTAAAATGTAATTTTACAAGAAAACTATGAGTTCAGAAGAAAACTATGAGTTCAGAAGAAAACTATGAGTTCAGAAGAAAACTATGAGTGACGCTATATTGAACTTTCAAATTGCTCTGATAACACATCAAGTTTGGACCAAAGGACTGAAACAGCCTTTTTGAGCACTGGTCATACATATTTTGTTGATACTGTCTGTACTAATAAAACATTTAAAGCATATTTGACATTGTTGCATTTTAAAAACTGAATGAATTGTTGAAGTGGTGAATGTTTTCAAATAAAATGTTTTTTCTTTTGTAATTTACAGTCTATTTTACCTTTTTACCATATTTACACTCAAGAGAGTTGAATAAAATAACAATATATTGTAGTAAAAAAATTACTTCCAGGCGGTGTTAAATATAGTTACATTTTTAACTCTGCCCAGAGTTAAAATTAACCCTTACTTCGGTGTCAATGTGCCAACCCTTTTGAAAGTGTTGATTTAACTCTGTTTTGAGTGGACCCCATGAGACACTTTCAAAGTGTTGAAATTAACACCCATAGAGTTGTTTTGGGTCCCCATATTTTGCTGTGTATGCACTATATTACCTGGTAATGCTGTAAATAAAGTTACATTCAGACTGTGCAAAAAAAAAAAAAAAAAAAAAAAAAAAGCAATCTCACTTCACAAGAACAGAGTTCACCCAAAAATAGAAATTCTGTCATTATTTTCTCACCCTTTAGCTGTTTTATTTATTTATTTATTTATTTATTTATTTTACTGTGAAAGTCTATGGTTACAGGTTAATCTTACTTTTAATTATTATTATTTTTTTGTTCAACAGAAGAAAGAAACAAAGGTTTGTAACCACTTTAGGGAGAAAAACAGTAAATATATATATATATATTTTTAGTGAACTAACCCTTTAACTGACCCACTAGTATGATCCAAATATAAAAATACCATTTCAAAAATGTGCTTTTGGTAAACCTGATGAATCTGAACAATACAGTTTAACTGAAATTACCCAACAAAATCTCGCTAGCATCAACAATGTCTGTATGGCTTTTAGGTCAATAAGCTGACCTTGAGATTGTGGACGTTGGGGAGCATGTTACTGTTCGTCGTCAAGCTTGAAGAAGCCCTTATGAAAGACCTCAAAGTTGTATTTGAGTTTCTTTGGATAGCTTAGTTCCAGTGCATAAATGCGGCCCATTAGGTACAGTAGGTGCAAGAATCGACTCCAAAAAGTACATTTGCTCTCTCTATGGCTATATTTCAGCTTTCTTGTGACCTTCATCACTGGATTGGTTGTCCACAAAGATGTTGGAAACAAGTGAACTGGGGTGCTCTTGACTGGTTATAAAATTATAGTCATCTTAAACCTGTAAAACAAAACAAACAAAAAAATCCAGAAATAATTAAAAATCTCATGTATATTTGCTGATGTAAATAATGCACATTTGCTGTTCCTCTGAGCAGCCCCCTGCAAACGTTTACTCACCCTTGGCTTTTCTACTTTATGGTGGTTGTTTATGAGTCTCTTGTTTGTTCTGAACAGTTAAACTGACTGCTGGTCTTTAGAAAAAAATCATCCATGTCCTGCAGATTCTTCAGTTTTTCTTCATCTTCAGCAGATTTGAACCCTTTTTAGCAGTGACTGTAAGATTGTCAGATTCATCTTTTCACTCTGAGGATGATTAAGGGACATAAACATAACTGTTAAAAAGGTTTAAATGTTAACTGACGTTTCAGAAGGAATCACATGGAATTAAGAACCAAGGGGTAAAAACTTTTAAACAGGAGGAACATGTCATTTTTTTATTTTGTTGAAACATCATTTTGAAATGTCATATTTTACTTAAAAAAACAGAAAATACTTGCATATTTCCCAAAAGGCAAATTGCAATTTACCTTAATATTTTGATTATAAATGTTTTTACCGCCCGGCTCTTAGTGCCTTGCATTTATTTCTGGAGCATCATAAGCTACCTTTTTAATAGGTTTGTTTGAGTCCCTTGATCATTCTCAGAGTGAAAAGACTGAAAGACAAATCTCACAATCATACAAATCACACAATGACACAATCATACGATCACTGCTGGAAAGGGTTCAAATCTATAGAAGATGCTAAAAAAACTGAAGAATGTGCAGAACATGTAGAATTTAACTTTTCAGAGGAGTTTAACTTTTCAGTACAAACATAAGACTGATCCATCAAAAAGCAGAAAAGACACTAGTGGATCATCAGAAAACCCCAAACCATATTAAAAAAATAATGTAGGTAAACTTTTGCAGGGGGCTAATTTAATATTTTGAGCTAGGTTTTTGTATTTTGAACTATACTGTATGTAAACATCTCAAAACAGTATTAAACAGTATTAAATAAAAAAAAAACATGCATTTTGTATGATCTCACTTGTTTAAAGTTTTGACATGAATATATATAAAAAATGTTCCTTTACCTGGTAGTCCTTTATCTTCGGGAGTCAATGCTGTTGTCCTAAAAATATATAATATATGACATATTAAAATTGTCACCATTAACTTATCTTTTACCTCTCCAAATGTGAATTTAATGCACTGCAATCAGCTTATAAACAGTTAACACAATAAACCAATTTATTGAACATTACATACCATTATCCAGTGCACTTGTCAAGTGAATCCCCTGTTGGGGAGAGTGTGTAATGATTATTAACTGACCAATGCACAAATCCAGGGCAATTAGTTTAACTAGTAAGTTTTTTTAAAATCGTTATCTAAAAATGTAGTGAAATAAAAACAAACATTTTTCTCAGCATTTTTTAAAGGAGAGAACAAAGATGCTGAAACTAGCACTGGGTATCTAAGGCACTTTTATTATTATACTTCAATTTGCTAGCCTGGCATGCATTATAACTAACATGATTTTTATCATTATCTTGCCTGTTAATAATGTTTGAAAATAGGGCTTAAGACCAAGGAGAGCTTCTCTGAAAAGCCCTTTACATGTAATTTAAGTTAAAGAACATAAAACCGTATCTTGACAGAATATTTTACAAACGTGAGAATGAATCAGTGTTTCTCCAAACATGTACATTTTTGTTCTAACAGATGCCATCAGTGCAGCTACGCAAGCAGAAATAAATTGAAGCATATAGTTGCATACAAATATTATGTAGGCCTACTCGTTTTTTTTCCATTGAAGATAAAATAATGATTAGTTATTTTGGACTCTTGACATAAATTAAGAAATTAATGTCACTGCAACATGCAACATAAACAGTCTGTTCAAATATTGAAGCTAGCTTCTTGTGTAAAGAGGTTAAACTGAAAGAATCTAAATACTAATCCTGTCCTAAAAATACAATCTAACATTATTTTACACTACATGCATTATTTCATAGTCAGATTTGCAAAAGTGTCAACTTAGAGTAAGAACAAATCCGCCATTTGCATTAGCACATGCAGCAATTAACTGCCACATACCAGCTTCCCGTTTATGTTAGGAAATCCATATAAAGCACAGTTGTCACAGCACAGTAAATTTACAGTTTGTCTTTGTTTCTGTACAATGTCAAAACTGTTGTGAAACAAATGTTAATGAACCTATAACTAACTTTAAACACTTGATCCTTACCTTATTTCGCCCGCATGTTCTTCTTCTTTCAAATGGGGTTTCCCAGCCAAAGACGAAGGGAAATAGTTATTTTGTAAATTTAACAAGGTGTTATGTTATGTTGTCTTCTGTACAAAAAATGTTTGTCTGAGATTATTCAGAAAAACTGAGTAAAAAAAAAATTCAAAACGACATTTATTCATGTAAAGCTACGAACTTAACATTTTTTGTTGATTTTACAAATTAAACTACATAGTATCTACAAACACTCAGAATCATTTTTATCACTGTAAGAAATTAGTTATTAAAACTATTATGTTTAGAAATGTGTTGAAAACATCTCTCAGTTAAACAAAATTGGGCAAAAAATAAATAAATAAACAGCGAGGCTAATAATTTGGGGGGGCTAATAATTCTGACTTCAACTGTATATTTGTATGTATATTTTTTTAATAAAGTTTGATTAGCATTATTATTAATATTATATATTTTTATTACTTGATCTACCTCTTATAGGGTTCCAGTTAAAATGTAGACATCCCCAAATAGAGCTGTATGTTGTGTCATTTAATTTCATTTATTTGATAATTTTACACTCTTATCTTTAATTCATTATATTTATTATTATGCTAAATCAGGCTCTACTTTGCACAACAAAATTCATTACTCATTTTTTGAAAGTTAAGTGGTTGCAAACTATTTATATTGGCTGAATTTAAACAAATTTAAATGAGCAATGCTCAACTTAATTTTTTTGTTTAAATTTAGCCTATAAAATTTATTTGCAACCACTTACCCTATTTTTAGAGAGAGAGAGGTGTGAAAGTAAAAAAAAGCTGAAAAATAACCCTAAAGAACATTCAGAATAGTATTTCCAATATCAGTGACATGCTTAAATTGAATTGTACTTTAAAAAAAAATTTAAATTTTAAACATGGCATGGCCCCAAACTGGATCATGCAGTCAGAACAGCTTCTCCCCAACACACACCTTGACTACATGAAATAAACAATAGTGCATCTATAGGCAAAGGCCACTGACAACATTAATATTTGATCACAGTAATGTTGTACAATTATTATTTTGTTAAAGACTTTTCACGTTTTAAATGTTACTGTTACATTTTACTACGGTTAAAAACAAACAAACAAAAAACTAATTTATCAAAATTATGAGCACAATTTCTCCATTAAAACGGCAGTTTATTTAATTCTCCCTTTTTCAGCACTATCATTTTTACCATCCGCTTATGATGCTTTTGGGAAACTCAGACTAGTGTTTCATGTATTGATTTTTAGAAGGACTGAGATGGCAAAGCAAGAACGTGGTTTCACATTAACAACAAGTTCTAACACTTTAATAAAGTAGTCAAAACTTAGCACCAATAAGATACAGTTGGATCGTGTCCAATATAGTGAGTGATAAATAAAACATAGGCCTACCATTTGCTGCGACTTGTAGACCTCTTCCTCTTCCTCATTTTAGCTAAAGTGTAGCACTCATGCACTTTAGCTAAAATGAGGAAAGGTCCGAGCTGAAGTGATAGAGTGGGGGCGAGGCCTATTACAATCTTAATAAAAATAAATAAATAAATAAAAACGCAAAAACGATAGCATAACACCTTAACATCACTCAAACAACAACGCTGAAACAACACAATTCTTGAGATTTTATTGGAACAACTTAATTCTTTATGTTCAATCCACATAAATTTGTTAAAAATGTTAAGTTAAATTAATCGATTTGTGTTGGGTCAACATGAATGAATTATGTGGAACACTGCATTTTTTTTTACAGTGATCAACATTTTTTAAAAGAAAGATATGATTAAAATTGTAATAGCCTACTCTTTACTTACTTTTGATGAGTTTATATTTGAGTCATGTGTTTTCAGTGCTTTACAGTTTTTAAATATATATAATAATGGTTAATGCTATATATTAAATAAGTAAGCGGAATTTGCCACTAACCAGGATTAAAAAATTCTACTCTTTAAAAAATAAAAGACCAACACAGTTGGGTTACTTTTAAAATGTTTAAAAAAATGTAAAATTGTAATTTAATTTTACTTAATTTAATTTAAATTTAACCAAAGTTTGTATTTGACCAAGTTAAAATAAAAAATACTTTAATTTACATTGGCATGTGCTACTTTAATTTACATTGACTGACTGATGGAAAATAGAAATCATTATATATTTCTTAATCTAGCCAAATCTGTTGTATCAAATTTATTACAGAGATAAAAGATTCCAAATGTGGTCTAAATGACTAACTGGCCTATGGCTTTACATGTACACCATGTTTGATTCATTCAAAACTTTTAGAAAGAGAAATAAGAGTTCAGCATCTTACAGCAGGGAAATTGGTTAATAGAGCCTACTTCAAGTGTAACAGTGTTATAACATCACAACATTAACCCTTGAAATATGTTTAACTGAATGTAATAACTGGCATTTTTACCATTAAAACATTTAAGACGAATTTGTTTTGTCTTGCGTATTTGGCATCATTTGGCTATTCAACTTAAATATATAACAACATGTTTTGAGTATTTTGTTTATTGAATAAATGACAAATTCAGTGTTAATGACATCATTTTAGTTTAGGTATTGTAGGATATTTAATGACAGCTGGAGCAAGTTTATCTTCTTGGTGTCATCTTACTTAATTAAGTATAGCCTAGGCTACATTTGTTGTATATTTTAGTGTTGTAATTTAAAAGTTAATGGACAATGTTTTAAAAGTAAAGCATCATGTCTTCAAACAGCAACATTTAATCAAATTGGTGTGAGAAATGATGAAAAGATTATTTGAGAACATGTCCCATACTTTCACATTTCATGTTTAATTCAGTGTAGGTTCTTTGTAATTTTCTTTTTTTAATTTTACGAGAGAAAATTGTTTTAAAGTAGCCCACTTGTTTCCTTGTACCCCTTCAGAACTTTTTGAATGTAAAAATGACATGTTCAATTTGAACTATACCTTTATAAAATCAGCAAGAACACTATGGGCTACACTTTGAAGATTAAAAACTGGACAATAATGGACAATATAGTTTAGTGAAACTTTTATCGGTCAGTTGCCGCCTTTTTCTTCGGACTATCGGCCAAACACATCTGTCCGGTAATATGGGCGGTGGTCCAGTAGGTCTATTTAAAGCTCTGTCCAGCTCTGAAGCCACAAGATCGACACAATGGTTGTGTGGACAGCTGAGGAGCGCGCAGCGATTCAGAACATCTTTGCCAAACTCGACTTTGAGTCGGTGGGCCTCGAGACCTTGACAAGGTAATCTTCTCTCAAACTTCGTCAACACGTTTAATTATTCGGTTTGAGATGTTTTGAATATCTTGTGGATATTTATACATACAGAAACTATAACGTCTCTTTACTGACAGTTCAATTATAAAATAAATTTTCCTAATCATTTAGCCTATCAAGTGGTTCTGTACGTATATTTATTTATTTATTCTGGGGAACACAAAAGAGGATATTGTGAAGAATGTTTCAAAACATCAGTAGGCTACTGTGGAAGCCAATGGCTGTTGCATGATTTCTGACATTCATGACAATATCTTCTTTTGTGTTCAGCAGAAGAAAGAAATCAATAAAAGAAACAAAAAAGGAACAAGGAACAAGTTGAGGGACCTAGAATTGTCATTTTTGAATGAACTTCTTTTAATGTCGTTGTATTATTTGTCTTATTTCAAGATGCTTGGTCGTCTATCCGTGGACTCAGCGGTACTTTGGTGGGTTTGGAAACCTATACAACACAGAGGCAATCATGGCTAACCCAAAAGTCAAAGCGCACGGTGTTGTGGTCCTCAAGGGACTGGAAAAGGCTCTCAACAACATGGACAATATCAAGAGCACCTTTGCTTCTCTTAGCGAGCTTCACTCAGAGAAACTACAAGTCGACCCAGGCAATTTCCGGGTGAGTAGCTATTCCTCTTTAAACATCATTTTTAAATTTCTATACACACTTCGAACTGCTGTGTTCACTAAAAAGTTTGCTGAGAAATCATTTTGGTTCCTCAATGACCTTTATTTTTTAACAGTTTATGTTGTATATTGTTGTGCTGGAACTGTGCTTCACTTTTCTTCTTCTTGTTTTCCAGCTGTTAGCGGACTGCCTGACCGTGGTGATCGCCACACGCATGAGGAGTGAGTTCACCCCGGATATCCAAGCTGCGTGGCAGAAGTTCCTGTCTGTTGTTGTGTCAGCCCTCAGAAGGCAATATCTTTAGATTCGCTTACCGAAAGAAGTGATTGTACCATTGTTTTATGCATTATGAAAAATAAATGATTAAAATGAATTGCGTTGTCTGAGTTGTCTCTGTTTAAAAACATTTAAAATCTTAATCAAACAATTAATCTTTCAGAAGTGCCAATATTTACAAATAGTGACTTACAACATGGTTGGGAGTACCTAAGATGGCTGTATTTTTTCTGATATATTCTAAAATAGCCTATAATTTCCCACGAACATGGTCAAGACTTTAAAAGACAAAAACTGATGCAAATTTCATGTTTAATTAATGCTGAAGATACAAAATTTTGTTTGGGCCTGCAACTGAACTGAAAAATCTATTAAGACCTGATGTTAAGATTAAAGTAGAACATAAACATACATAAACAACAGGTATCGTCTGTTGTGCGTATATTTGTTTGCTAAATATAATTTGTTTAGTAAAATATGGGATATGGGCTAATGGGCAAGTATATCTATAGAAACAATATGCCAGTAAAAAGGCTCTCTATTAAGTTTTAATTATCTTACACACACTCTTCAACAAGAAGAAACACTTGATTCACTTGCAAAGTATGTTGTAAACTAAATACACTGTACAGCAGAGGTGCCCAAACTCGATCCTGAAGTTGTAAAACAGTGTTGCTTTAGCTCAATTTAATCAAGTAATTTTAACAAGTTTTTTTTAAAGCTGCATGGCAAATACAAATACACTGTGCTATTGTACCGGTTTAATTTTTGCTTGTTAAAAAAGCCAAAGCAGAAGCCAAATCAAATTAAAGAAAAATTTCAATTGAATACAAAGTTCTAATGATATATTTTCACTTTAACGTGTTGTCGGATAAAAAAAAACTATTCATCTTACCTAACGGGCTATTATATTATGCATTATTATAATGCGGTGGTGTCCAAATCCTGTTCCTACAGGGTGCCAAACTGTCCAGCGGAGTTTAGCTTTGCTAAGTCAAGCAGACTCATTACCTTTCAATGCAAGTGTGTTGGTGCTGGTTTAGTTAAACTCTAAAGTAGCAGCAGGTACATCTTTTTTTAGGTATGCAGAAAGTGACCCACGGGTAAAGAATCTGATGTTTAAAATTTCAGCACAACGGACAGCGCCATACTTTATATTGGACTGCGGCCAAGATTTCAGCACTCAAATCTGGACAGCTCCACACCCATAGCAAACATCACGCGTTTAAGATATTAATGATCATTTAAATTTACTCATTCAGCAGAAGCTCTTTTGCAAAGCGACTTACAAGTAAGTATAAACGACGCACATAAAATCTTCAGAGATTATGAGTATTCTATTATAAGTATACAATATTAATATTATAAGTAGGCCATCAATACTGAATAGGCTATTCTATGATAAGTTTAAGTTGCTTGATCTATAAGTCGAATGATAATATAATGATAATATAGCCTTTTTTTTTTTTTTACAAGAAATACTTATTTTTATACTTCAGAGTAATTGGAGCTTAATTCAGACTTAACTGTCAATTTTTTTTGAGTAATGCAACATACAACACACAGTAAAATTATTCTTTATTCGCAATATGCGTCAAAAATAAAATTAAAAGTGTATAGTTATTCACAAATTATTACAGTCTAATCAGATAACCTCAGAAGCGTAGGCTACGTGTGACTCTAATATTGTGGACGGATTAGGCTAAGTATTAGTTATTAGTGAGCATTTTAAAAGCAATATCATATTGAAAATAAAAGTTATTTTAGTTTCTTAAAAAATAGTATGACGGACAAAAATTAAACTGATATAACGGATTGTCTGTATCTTAAAGTATATCCATACTATATGGCGTATAAAAATATTTAAAACTAGGCTATTTATTTTAAGCATTTTAAATGTAGGTTCTCTTAAACAGAAAGAGATATACCCCTATGCTACACAAAAGAGCAATCTCGTTTAAAAAGGGCAGGCTTGGCTAATTTATTAATCAATAAATATATTAAACACAATAATCCCACAGAGGGCGCTAACGGATATACATTTTTTATTGAACATTTTGCAATCCATGCAGAAAGATAAAACAAAGACATGAGTATTTATCAGTTTATTTAATAAGCTAGCATATACATTGATAAAGATAATATCTGGCAGAACCATTCCGTCCTTCCTCTGAGGGCTCTTCATCGGAACTTCTCGGCTAAAACAGCTGAGAATGCCGACAGAAACTTGTCTATCGCCGCGTGCACCACTGGAGTGAAGTCGTCACCCATTCTGCAGGCTAACGTCACAAGGATGCAATGATTAAAAAGCTGGAGAAAAGAAAGTCTAGCGTCAATGAGTTAATTAAAACCACTACCACAATAGAGCAACAACAAAGAATACGTAGAAGTGTACTGGACAATTTTATTGGACAGACATAAAGACCTTGAAGTTTGTAGGATGTATTCGCAGTTGGTAGGCATGGAACCTGCTAAGTGGTGCCAACGTTGTAGTAAGTGTGCTTATGTTCTTCGCACCCTCGGCCAGAGCCTCGACGATTTTCTTTCCGTGGGAGCGCAAATGCTCTGAATTAGCGCTGATATTTAGATGAGAGAAGTATGTCTTTGTTTTGGGGAACGTTGTGAACATCCTGTAAAGTCACATTAACAAGAGTGAAAACAAGGTTAAGAAGACATGTTAAAGCACGAGACCCCTGACAGGTGGGCTACTACAGTAAACTATCTCCTCCCTCTCTTTTGCCTACGTCATCCTCACTCATCCTGGGCATATGCCAAATATGACAACACCATCAACCATTGACTTTTGATATTCAGAAAAATTAACGGCGAGCTATCAAGGATAGGTAAGTCTGACTTAAAATAGCTTAATTCACATGGTTTAGTCTTATTAGTTGTAAAAACGCTTTGTTTATAGGAATAGCTGTTTATTATCATGAGCTTAATTTGGTCTATGACAGCATACCTTAAAAGAGCTTCAGATCCAATTTCTTCCGCCACTGGAGTCATTTTGTCCCATATTTCTGCAATCAGCTCTTTTTCGGCACTCGAGAGCATAATTATGCAGTTTAATATTGCTAAAATATAGCTTATTGATCTACTACCAAACACAGCTGAATAAATAGGTTAAATTAAATTAGCTTCAGTTAAAAACACGCAAATAGATCGACGACTTGGCCGCATAATTAACCATAAACTCGATAAATAGTGCAAAAACAGAAGAGAGCAGTTAACCGAACTGTTGTCGTTCCCGTCGGTCGCTCTCTTCACCTCACCGGTCAATGAGTTCATCACGTGACTGTTGAAACTGCGCAACTTTAGCCTGTTCTGCGTCATACTACAGGAGTCTGGGTTATCATTCAGGGATTCCTACTTTTTGTGATTGATTTTTTTAAAAGACTAATTATAGCTTGATAAAATGAAAACCAAACAAGTTTTTATCACCATAAAAAAAGATTTATAATTTAACTTCTGTTGCTTTTAAATCAACAGCTATGTTGGTCAAGCTCCAGTACATTTTATAAATGAACTTCAAGCAGACAATCCGAACCATAAATGTGTCCCCCGTGTCAAGGACTAAGTCAAAGTGTAGAATACATATATTTCTTATGCATATTATGTGCATTTATTTGTACACTCCACTAGTTTATTTGTCTATATATACATATTACATGTAATATGATATTATATAATGTATTCCTATATACATCCACGTTGTATTATTTGAGAAATAATAATCATCTTTTTTATTATTTCCATAGTCTCTCCCTCTCTCAATGCTGAATTAATGATAATTGTTCAGTTGATCTTTTGTTCAGTATATGATTTTAGTATTGTTTAGATATTCTAATGAGTCATGAGATCATATTCAAAAGAAACTCCAGACACACCTAATCACTGTTGCCCTGATTAAGGCAGTTGTTTGCCAAAACACGTAGGCACAGTTTTAAGGAATATCCATGTCAATAAAGGATTTTTATTTTTTTTCCACATTTTTTTTGAGTGCCTTGGACTGATTTTTGCTGTTTATTCTGATAAATGCCTTACTCAAAGAGCACAATACATTTTTAAGCTACCCCTAAGCACTTTTTGTTTAATTTTGGATTTTTTTTCTTTACATAATATCTATGTTATTTTCAGAATTAAATTCTGTCTCTTTTTTAACAATGCAACCCAACATGAGATGTATTTTACAATGACTTTAGTATATTTTATTATGGAGCAAAAAGTGTTTAGTGGCCTTGACAAAAAATAATTTGATACTGCCATTTAATCCTAATTTCTATGAAATCAATTTACTTGTTTTGCAGTTTAATAAAGGTTTAGATGGTTTTCTAATGTACAAGTTCTATCCTCTCATATAATCTCTTTTTTTCTAAAAACATCCTTTGATATTTGAAGAATCTTTTTATTACTTTATTTTTATTGCAAAAAGGTTCTCTATATGTATTTAACTTTTTAAAAATAACGTAATTGTTTTTATAATCAATTCACTTAAATTTGTAGAAAAAAAGGTTAACTTTATAAATTTGTGTTGGGACAACATAAAGGAATTGTGTGTAACCTAGCAAAATTTTAAACAGTGTACTCATTAAACATCCAAACAAACTTATGAAAATACAACAAAATTGAAAAGGTAAAAATGTTATTGTCTGCTTTATCTAGGCAATTTTATGCCAAGTTATGGTCCAAAATAAAAAATATAAATTAAAAAAATATATCTAAAATGAAAAAATACATATACAGCAAAGTAAGACTATAAACAAACACGAATGAAATTAAAGGACTCTCTTGTTTGCAGCTATGATGAGCATGTACTTCAGTGATAGGGATGGGTGCTGGCACTGGCTCTGATAAACCCTCCTATCAGTGACTCAAGCTGTGGTCTGTGAGAGGGTGTAAGCAGAAGAGCAGTGTAATCACCCGTGTCAGCATTGCCCTGCCCTCCTGCTGGCACACGTTACATATGACTCAGCTAAAACTGAACCATTGCCTTTATTTAATCCACTTCCTAATTAATGTGCTGTCTGATCAGGTCCATTCTTAGAGATTATGTGTGCTACCTACATATTGATTGGTTTATTGAATTAATTATTTGCTGTTGTTGTATTTTTAAATGATGTTTGTATTTTTTTAATAGCATATGATTGTAATATCATCCTCAAGGGTCGACCTCAAGTGCCATACCATTATCATCATGTTGTGTTAATTAAACACCAACTGGCAAAAGGGTAAGGCATTATTTTGATCCCATTTAGACATTTTGTTAATTATAATCAATTTTGGAACTATTTATGTAACTAACTCGTCACATTTTACAATAAGCTTTTATTAGTTAATTTATTGCTGTTAAAAAAATATTTTTTAGTTGAATCAAGTGAACTTTTCTAGTCATCTCAACTTACTTCAGTCAATCTGACAACAGGTATTATTATATATAAGAATACATATAAGATTATATCTGACTAACCTATTTAAATACATAAGTTAAAGTAGTATAAAAGCATTTGCTGTAATGACTTTTTCATATAAAACATAAATTGAAATAATTAACAACACATTTAATAATGGTAGTTCAGCATTGACCAATGCATTATTAAAATACGAATTCATGTTTGTTATTAACATTAGTTAATGCACTGATGAACCACTGTATTGTCATTAACTAACATTAAAAAACGTTAATAAATACTGTCAAATGTATTGTTCACTGTTCATTCATGTTAGTAATCACATTAACATATACAAACTTTTTGTAGTGTTACCTTAGTATCTATATCTCAATTATTTTAATAACTATAATTAATTGTGTATGTTAATCAAGTCAGTGTATTCATCTATCCTCAAAGTCTGATTTTGCTGAATTAGCTGACATTTTGTTAAAAATTTGCTTATACAGTCAATATGCTGCTAAAGGATTAATGTTATTTATTTATTTTATTTTTATTTTTGTCTTTATTTTATTTTAAATGTTATTTGTTTTTATTTTTTATTTGTTATCATTTATTTACAATAAAATTAATGTTTTTATCATGTTGAAAGAAAAATAAATCTTGGCATTACCTTTTTGCCTTGTTTATGAACTATTTGCTTTATTATAAAAGTTTAAAAAGTAAATCAGTGACATAAAAACACATAAAAGTTTGTTTTGAATAAAATATAGAGAAAAAAGTCATGCTTGCCTCTCCAAGACGAGTGACAGAAATGAAGATTTTACAACAAGCATGTTTATGCAAAAAACAGGCAAGCTGGAAATGATGAGGCTGACAGACAAACAGAAAAGTATAATTTAGAAAACAGCTCTGCAGATGTTTTGCTTTGACACTGTCCTCTGTATAACCCTGTGTCCTTAAAAGACATTTTCAAATAAAAGTCTAATCATCTTAAAAAAACATGAAATAAAACTTTATTTAAATATGTATGAACATTTTAAGAATATAAAGAGTTATGTGAATATTTCTAAAATATATTATAAAATATATTAAACATATATTATTATATTTGAAGAGTTTTTATTTTATTTTATTTTGTTTTTAATATAAAAACACATTTTATATACCATTTTGCAGCTGTTTTTACATATTTGGTAGAATTATTAGACTTTAAAATATTTAATATTTTTATTAATCACATTTAAACATAAAAAACATTCACAAATGTTATAAATTATTTTGAATATTTTTTCATTAAACAATTCTGATATAAATGTGTCACTACAACTGTTTTGAACACTGATATTTAGAATAACTATTTAATAAGCACCAAATCAGCATATTTAATGACTCCTGAAAGATCATGGGACACAGACGACAGGAATGTTGACTGATAGAAATTCAGCTTTGCCATCACATCATATTATTTCTAATATATTAAAACAGAATCTGTCACTTTAAATTATCATAATATTCACACAGGGCAGCACGGTGGCGCAGTGGGTTGTGCTCTCGCCTCACTGCAAGAAGGTCGTTAGCTCGAGCCTCGGCTGGGTCAGTTGGCATTTCTATGTGGAGTTTGCATGTTCTCCCCGTGTTCGTGTGGGTGCTCCGGTTTCCCCCACAAGTCCAAAGACATGCGGCACAGGTGAATTGTCAGTAGTTTATGTGTGTGAATGAGAGTGTATGGGTGTTTCCCGGTGATGGGTTACAGCTGGAAGAGCATCCGCTGCATAAAACATATGCTGGACAAGTTGGCAGTTCATTCCGCTGTGGCGATCCCAGATTAATAAAGGGACTAAGCCGACAAGAGAATGAATGAATGAATAAATGAATGAATGAATGAATGAATGAATGAATGAATGAATGAACGAACGAATATTCACACATCAGTATCACAATATTTCAGTTTTCACTGCATTTTTAATGCTGGTAAGCATTGACTAAAAACATTTTACAAACAAAAAACTTTTGTATGGCAGCGTAATTGTTTATAAAAGATCACTTTTACAGTTTTTCACATTTGCTTTGTCACATTTTTTGAAACAGTCGAAACATTCGCTAAACTGAGTGCAAATCTCGAAACTGTTTGCTGGAACTTCAGAACTTTATTGCATGTCTGCAAAATGTAGTTACTCCCCCAAAACATTTAATTAATGCATCAAAACCTAGTTTCTGTGTCAGTAATTTGGCCAAGGCCACCAAAACATAAAGTGTAATTGTCATAATGTGAGCCACACTGAATATAAAATATAAAAATATAAAACATATATATGAACATTTGTATTTATACAGTACACTACTTTGTGTACAAATGTATTACAGTTTTTCTCAGTGGCTTTGGTGCATTTCTCACAACACAATTTACATTTGCAAAACAGTTAATGCATTTCTCAAAACAATTTGTACAAACTGCAAAATATAGCTGATAACCTGCAAAATTGTGTCACTTGCTCAAAATGGATAGCTCAATCCTCAAAAGTAAATATTGATGTCAATAAAAGTTTCTGTGTCATCAAGATGAAAAGTCCTGACACCATTGTTTATGACGATAGCCAAATGGCTTGTTTTCAGTATGACAGTTTAGTCTGTACATTTTTTTCCAATGCAAAAAAGTGAGATATTGGTGACACTTTCTGAAAATGCTCAAGACAGCACTATATATAGTTTGCACAGCCATGTGAAAATTTCCAGCATTGTGCAAAAGAATAAATACACCCTTATTTACAACAAACATCAACTCCCTTAGGGTGGAGCTGTGCACAACAGTAAACAGTATTGCAGTACATACTGGAGCTGAACCATATAACATACACATGTCTGTAAAACATTCATGAAATTGTTCAATTTAGAAGAAATTTTCATGAATTTTTTTCATATTTAAATTTAGCTTGACAGATTTTGACAACTAGTTTAAGATTTTTGTATGTAATGACTCAAGTAATGAAATGAGGACTATTCGTTTTTATATGGAATGACGATTCAGCATTCACAAGTTTAGTTAATTTTGACATAAGCGAATGATAATGTTATAAAACAGCAGCGAGTTTTATGAAAGCAATTGATGCATGTTCAAAAGCATTTGCAATTTGCTGGAAGGAATGAGAAACTGCTACTATTATGTGCACAAATGACTAATTGTTTTGAGAAATGCTTTAACTGTTGTGCAAATGTAAATAGTGTTGTGAGAAATTCACCAAAGCCATTGAGAAAAAAAAAGGAAGTGCAATCCTGCCCATCCAATTACTGTTTCGTATATTTCATATTTTTTTATTACCAGAGATTATGCAAATTGTATTGAAATTACAGGTCATTTACCAAATCAGCAGACATTACAAACAATGTCAATATCAGATATTTATGGTGTAAACATGTACGTATACAAATGTTTGATCATTGAATAAACAGTTTTGAGTGTGATGATGGCTCACACAATGAAAAATTATTGAGGAGTTCTGAGGTGTGTGACAGTTTAAAGGAGAATTGATTTATCAGTTTTGATCAACAAGCTATATGCAATTCATTTTAGTCCAAACTACAGAAAATTGTACTGTTTGCACACATGTGCCAAAGCATGTGTAATTTGCTTAAAGCAATAAGAAATGCCATTCTGTTGTGATCAATAACTAATTGTTTAAAGATCTAAACTTGTTGTTTTGAAGAAATTTAATTCGAGAATTGAGACAAAGCTAATAGTTAAACGCTTTTCTGCCACTATTCTGTTGTGCATAACATCCACTAGATGGCAACAGCGCAACAAAAGCAAACGTATGGAACAAATGATTCACAAACCAGATATAGCTACTTAACGTGGGTAGCCTTTTATTTATAAGCAAAAATTTGCATTTCTACTGCCAATATATGTACTCACCCGTTTATTAAAATCTCTGTTTTCCAAACAATTACGAGTAGGCTATGTGTGCATATCAAAAGCACAGCCCTTTGTATCTTGTTTGCTTGTGAGATAAATCCCAGAGAGTATAATGCCAGTTAAGCGTCGGCGGAAATGTCTTTCGTCTCTTTAAAATAAATAAAGTAAAGCAAACAGGATTAAAGATTAATTATTTCCCCTTCTTCAATCCTCTTGATGTGTTGTTTGCTTGAGCTCTCACTGGTAAATCACACATGCCCACCCACGATGTCTACCCTTCGCCTGCCAATACTCAGACGTGTTATAGAGGCTATTATGACTGGATTGCTCACTAATAGATATTCATTGCCGTTTACGTTAGATTAGAAGATTTAGAAAAGCTCGTGGGCTTCTATGAAGACTGTAATAATGGGGAACGGGGAGAGAAGCATTGTGAAACATCACAACTTTTAAGAAACTAAATTTGAGAGCGCTACTTGAAATTCTACCTAACAGACGCAATACATCATGTGCGCATCTGTCAACATGACCATCTATTTGTCCACCTCTTAGGTCATGTCATGTTTTCTGATCACGTGAAAGCCCCCATGAGAGCCTTTAAACATCAATCTTTCCGTGACAGCAGCTCATCCTCTCTCTCGGGACAAAAGTCGCAAGTGTTCAAAGACCGCAACCGACAGCCATCGTAGATTGGAGCTCTATGAATGACGACATCTGTGAGCTTATCTGTAGGCTTATAAGAAGCATGTGCAGGTCATTTTTAGTTTAAATGTGTTGTTTTTATTTGGGGTCAGTAAATGTAGGTTACATTAACTAGTATTTTATACAAAGGAATACTGTTTCAAATAAATTTTGATCCTTTGAACTATATTTTCACAAAAGTGTCCAAAAAGTTTTCATACGAATATTATAAGAAATATGAGTAGAAATATTTTCTGTGACTGGTGTTTTAATTTTTTTTTTATTACAGGAATAACTTCCCCCTCAGTGCTGGGTTGTAGCTAAAAGGGCATCCACTGCATAAAACATAAGCTTGAGTAATTGTCGGTTCATTCCACTGTGGTGACTCTTGATAAATCAGGAACTAACTTGAAAGACAGTGAGTAAATGAGTAAGGGAGCAAATAACATTTAAAAGTGGAAAACAGTTGTTTTTAATAGTAATATGCTGAAAAGGGTGTAGGCCAAATATATTTAAAGGGACAGTTCCCCCAAAACTGAAAATTCTGTCTGTCATCATTTACTCACAATTTTCTTGTCATAAGCCTTCTTGAATTAGCTTTTTTTCTATTGAACTAAATATTTTGGAAGCTGGTAACCCCTGACTTTTATAGTATTTGCTTTTCTTATGGAAGTCAGTGTTTAGCATTTTCTTTCTTCAAAATATGTTCTTTTGTGTTAAAAAACACTTAATAGGTAAGAAATAATGAGAGTTTAAAATTATTTGGGGGCATTGATATTTATTGTGTGTTATTTCCAATAGTAAATATCTATAAATGCCTGATACAAGTCAAATAGAATCAAATATATTTCTATATATATAACCTATTTTAAAAAAATACATTTAAAATTTGACATGACGATGGCGCAATAGGTAGCACATTCACCTCACAGCAAGTTGGTCGCTGGTTTGAGCCCTGGCTGGGCCAGTTGCCATTTCTCTATGGAGTTTGCATGTTCTCCCCCGTGTTCTTGTGGGTTTTCTCCAGGTGCTCCGGTTTCCTCCACAGTTCAAAGACATGAGCTATAGATGAATTGGGAAAGCTAAATTGTCCATAGTGTATTTGTGTGGGGAGCGTGTATAGGTGTTTTCCAGTACTGGGTTGCACCTGGAAGGGTATTCGCTGTGTAAAATATGCTGGATAAGTCGGCGGTTCATTCCGCTGTGGCAACCCCTGGTAAATAAAGGGACTAAGCCAAAGGAAAATGAAACAAAATTATATTTGACAAATGTTTTATGAAAGAAATGCTAAAAGACTGACAGTAATATCCAGTAATGCAAACTGCTCCATTTAAGATTTTAACATTGGAATTTAATATATATTTTTTACAGTAAGTGATTGCTAATGCAATTCCTTACTGAATGTGGTTTGACAAGAATGGTTTTATAGTATTGATAATTACTTACAAAGAAATGCTAGCAAATGTGTGCATATTGTAAAATATAATTTGAAAATAATTGCAAACGATTAAATGGGCACTTTCATCGAATAAACATGATTATACATTGTTGAATTAAAGTATCTAGTGTGAAAATTTGAACATACACTAATGGTCAAAAGTTTGGGGTCAAAAGTTTGTATTTTTTTAAATAAAATTATTCTGTTCATCAAGGCAGCATTTATTAAAAGTAAAATAAAAATAGTTAAATTGTTAAATACTTATTTACAAAAAATATTGACTATTTATTGTTTGTAGTGAAATTATTATTCCAGTCATTATTGCTTTTAATATATTATTAATATAAATAATATCAATAAAAAAAAAATTATTATTAGAGTGATTTCTGAAGGATCATGTGACTCTGAAGACTGGAATAATGGAGCTCAAAATCATCTTTAAAATCACCAGAGTAAATTATTTAATTAAATTCTAAACTACTTTTGAACAGTTATTTTATAGTACAATAAAATGTCATGCTAC